GAATTTTTGCGTGACTTACTTCTGAGCAGCTGTTAACAATGACTGAGCCTTTTTTGTCATCAAATTAGCGACAGCAATGCAACTAACAATCTTTAGGCAGCAAAAGAACAGTGACTATTATATTTTTGTAAGACATAAATAATGAAAACTAAAACCATAATGTTTGATAATTGAAAAAAATATATTTTCCCAAGTCAGTTGTTTAATTAGTCATACATAATTACATAATGGAAACATTATGTTTAGAAAGGATAATTTTGTGTGAATTATTTCTGTGCGCATAGCAATGAATGCAGTGGTGAATGTGCGCGAAAATAACTGAGAAACCGTTTTACCAGAGCTGCTTTACGAATTTTCGTGTTACAGGAAATAGTGAAACGTTTCTAAGTGTTGAAATCACCAGATGGCAGCATAAATGCTATTTGTAAAGTTCAAAAATGAGGTAAGATCAACGAGCGATGTGTGACGTGTTTGCAATCATCAAGTGTGGTCACAAATCCTGAAGAATCTTTTTTTTTTCCTGCGGTTCTGTGTGCGTCAATAAAGGATGAATTTTATTTTTCCTCACACACGATTTATTAGCATCATCCAAGTTATTTCTTGGCATAAAGATGCAGGAAATTATGAAACTGCTCGAAATATACTTAGGATGTGATTTGATATATAAAAAGCGAGTTATTTAAGCTACAACTATATGGTCTATATAAGGATCTATATAGGATACTCTTGCCTTTGAACTAGCCTTAGCTGCTTTTTCAAATATTTCTCTCCCCTAGTGAGACAGCGGTAAGTTTACGGACTTACAACGTTAAAATCCAGCGTTTGATTCCCTGCAGTGGACAGAGTGCGGATAGCTAATCGTTTAGCTTACACCAAATATATTTTTTCCTTTTTTTTTCATTAATAATGAAAGACAAATATATGAAAAATATTTTGTATTTGAAATTGAACTGAAATTAATAGTGAAGCAATGCGACAAGGAGTAAAAGTATAAAGCGTGTTTTGTAAGTAACTCCTGAAGATGATGTAGGTCACGTCGAAACTAATACTTGTAGAGTGTAGTTTTAAAGTGGAAACCGTACAACTTCAATAAAGTTTTAATTGTGTAAATAGTAAACGTTGTTTTAATTATTTATTATAATTTTAAATATTACACAAGTGCCGGTAATTCATAATTCTATTATTTCAATTACAGCCAACTTTGCTATTTCTTTATCCTGTCTATCACTCTTTACTTTAGTGGTTTATTAAAACATTTATTAAATGAAATAGTCTCCATTTTTATCGATGATTCATTTCCATCTTACAATCAGGTTGTTAAAATGTCCTGATTAAAGAAATCACTT